CCGGAGGGCATCAATCCGCTATCCGACAAGATTCAAGCCATCCAAGAGTGGCCGGAGCCTCGGAACGTCACGGATGTCCGTTCGTTCCTTGGCCTTGCCGGCTACTACCAGCGTTTTATCAAAGGCTACTCGAAGATCGCGGCCCACTTGACCAAGCTTCAATGCGAGGATCGATCGTTTGACTTCGGAGAGGAGGCGCGGGAATCATTTTTGGCTCTCAAAGCCGCGCTATTATCTGCGGAGGTCTTGCGCATATACGACCCTCTTTTGCCTACACGTGTCACTACGGATGCGTCCGGCTATGGCATTGGTGCCGTCCTCGAGCAACACGATGGCGTGGACTGGCACCCGGTCGAGTATTTTAGCAAGAAAGTATCGGTCGTGCACTCCATCGACGATGCACGCAAGAAGGAGCTCCTCGCCTTCGTCCACGCACTCAAGCGGTGGCGACACTTCCTCCTTGGTCGAAGCCACTTTTGATGGGTAACGGACAACAATCCGTTGGTGTTTTACAAGACCCAAGACACCGTCAACAGCACCATCGCTCGATGGATGGCTTTCATCGACCAGTTCGACTTCTTTCCCGATCACATTCTGGGGAAGTCGAACCGTTTTGCGGATGCTCTTTCACGGCGTCCAGATCATTGTACCGCTGTCTACTCAACATTCGAGATCGACGACGACCTACGGAACAGCTTCATCCGCGGCTACCAAGCCGACCCCGAGTTTCGCGACAAGTACGCGAATTGCTCCTCTCCTAATCCGGCGCCTTCTCACTACCGGATCCAAGAGGGGTACTTGCTTGTCCACACACGGGGGAAGGACCACCTTTGCGTACCGAGTGATCCTCACTTGCGTACACGGCTTCTTGGCGAGTTCCACGATGCTCCCGCCACCGGATACTTTGGAGTCGATCGCACGATTGGTCGACTTCGCGAGCGATTTTGGTGGCCCGGCCTTCTCGGCGACGTCACACGCTATTGCGAGTCATGCGAGGTTTGCCGACGCTGCAAATCCCGCAACCATCGTCCATACGGCGAGTTACGACCATTATCGGTCCCTTTGAGGCGAAGGGAAGCGATTGCCATGGACATTACCGGCCCGTTCCCCAAGCACAAGACCGGCGTAGATGGGATTCTCACGGCGGTCGACCGACTCACGAAGTTCACCATGTTTTTTCCTTGCCGCTCTCATGCCAAGGCACCAGAGTTGGCCGAGGTTCTCTACGCCGGTTGGATTCGAACCAAGGGTTACCCCAAGGAAATCGTCAGCGACCGCGACACTCGGTTCATGTCCGATTTTTGGTTGGCGCTTATCAAGCGATGGGGCTCATCTCTGAAGCCCAGTTCAGTTCGCCACCCCCATACCGATGGCCAAACGGAGAGGGGGCACCAGACCGCACAGGGTCTCCTTCGCACTCTCATCCGTCCTGACCAGAAGGATTGGGTTGAGCGGCTGCCGGATGTCGAGTTGGCCTACAACTCCTCCATCCACCCGGCTATCGGGATGTCGCCTTTTGAATTCGAGCACGGTTCGCCGGTCACTTCACCATTGGACACCATCACTCCACGAACGGCCGAGAGCGACGACAATCTTCTTTTCTTGCGTCGGATGCAAAAGCTACTTGTCAAGGCACGCGACCAGATGGCCAAGACGCAGCAACGCATGAGCCAACAGGCCAATCACCAGCGTCTTCCTTGCACATTCCGCACCGGCGATCTCGTTTGGGTCTCCGCCGCGGAATTCAGCCTTGAACAAGATATCTCTCGCAAGCTCCTCCTGAAATGGATGGGGCCTTGGCCGATCGTGGCACCCGCTGGGGATGCACCCGAGGGACCTTCCTTCACTATTCATGTGCCCGCCCACTTGCCCGTCTACCCAGTCTTTCATTGCTCCAAGTTGGCTCTTTACACGCCAGCGGAACATGACGATTTTCCCGGGAGACGTTCGCAAGACCCACCCTCTATGGATGGCTTTCAGGAGGTCGGCGGCATCATCTCCCAGCGATGCTACGGCAACAGGCCAACCCAGTACTTGGTACATTTTGCATACTGCACACACCGAGCTGACCGTTGGTTGACCCGTGCGGAACTTCAAGCAACAGCTACAGACGTTCTGGCACATTACGAACGTAAGATGCAAGGCAAGCCGGTCTCTTCGGCTCCACGCCGCACCCGCGTTCAGGTTCCACCATCAGATTGTCAGATTCGCCCTCGCCCCGACTTGACTTCATAAGGAGGGGTTACATGCTGCGCCTGCACACGAGGGCCATTTTCCAGGCCCTGCATCCCTCGGGCTGACAGCCTGAAAACCAGGGTCTACCGGGCCCGTGTCTGTTTAGCTCGAAAGCCTGAAAAACAGGGGCCTACAGACCCTGTGTCGTTTCAGACTAAAAATAGCAGTAGCCTTTTTAGCCTGAAACAAAGGGCCATTTCCGGTCTGTCATCAGACCGGCCTGCCCTAAAACTCAGGCACCGAACCAGGGTTTTAGGAACAGGCTATTTTTGGCCTGTTCCCACGACAGCTGCAGCGCCAGCCCCGGGCTCGGTTGGGCATTGGCAAGAGCAGCCTCCTGGACTGCCCGCCCTGCAACTGCAGGCAGTCGGAGGCAGTCAGGAGGCAGGCCGAGGTAGTACATAGGGACTTCCCATGCACTTCACGGGGAGGCAGGAGGCAGTAGTCTTCAGGATTCGGCAGCAGCACTCTGGAGGAGCGCTGTAGTAGTAGTAGTAGCGTTAGCCTTAGTCTTCAGCGCTGGGCGCTAGTAGCGTTAGTAGTAGTCTTCAGCGCTGGGCGCCATAGCTAGAGTAGCACTAGAGAGAGAGAGATTGGGCGGAGGCCAGGGGATACTTACCTGCAGCGCCGTTGCTCCAGCTTCGTCTTCGAGGTACCTGCCGCACAGCGCCATCTTCACAGGTTAGTACCTGGCATACAAGAGAGAGAGAGAGAGAGAGAGAGA